TCATACAGTACATTTCATCTTTCTAGATTATCTCTCTCCCTTATATTGTGATTCACTTAAATATCTATATAAATTACAGTCTTGAGCTAGTACAGGTAACCTGAGAGTCTAGAGGCCTTTGGTTAAAGGAATCTAGCCAGTGAACATAATTCTCATACTAAACTGCCACAAGGAAGAAGTTAACTTACCCTGTATATTGGGGTCCAAAAAAATTGAAAGATGTGCCTAAATGAAAAAATAAGCTATAAAGATTTAGGCCACTCAAAAACTAACAGCCGTTTCAGGTAGAGGTGCATGCCTAATGTAAATCAGCATAGTTTCCGTTTAGTGCGTTCTTTTAATCACTGAAATAAAAGATTCTACAAGAAAAAAAAAACAGAAAAAGAAACAGACTCACAGATACAGAAAACAAACTTAAGGTTACCAAGAGGGAAAGGGAGTGGAGGAAGGGATAAGTTAGGAGCTTAGGATAAACAGATACAAACTACTATATACAGATAAACAACAAGGTCCTACTGTAGAGCACAGGGAACTATATTCAATATCTTGTAATAAACCATAATGGAAAAGACAAGAGTAAATGAGGCCAGCTGGGAGTCTCTTGGGCTGTGGTGGGAGAGGTGGGGTTGGGCTTTGGATGAGAGGAAGCAGATAGAAAAAAGGTGTGACTGGTGTAGAGTCAGCACATGCAATACTGGAGAGGACGTAGGGCTTGTGACTTCCACACAAGGTCAAAACCTGTGTTCCTGTTTTATCGGGTTGACCAAAAAGTTCGTTCAGGTTTTCCCGTAAGATGCTACCGAAAAACCCGAACCAATATTTTTGGCCAACCCAGTATTTTGTAACTCTCGCAGTTTTAGGTTTTTCTATATATGTCTATGATCCATAGTTATTTAATTTTTATAAGTTCTCTTTGCATACCCAATTGCATACCCAACTGCTACCGCACACTGATCTAACAAATCATTCTTTCTATACCAAATTGCTTTTGTCCCTTCACTGAAAAACAACTGATCAGTTGTGTGTATGTTTATTTCTAGACCTCCTATTCCCTTACATTTATCTATTTGTATTTATGCTAGCACTTTCTTGTTTCCAGGTTGTTTGGCTATTCTTGGTCCTTTGCACTTGCATTTTCATTGTAGAATCCACTTCGCAATTTCTATTAAAAAAAAAAGAGCTTACCGAGATTTTGACTTGGATTTCACTTAACACATAGATCAATTTAGAAGGAAATATTGAGCGTTACAATCCATAAATGTGAGATATCTCTCCTTTTACTTGGGTCTTAATTTTTTTTTCTCTAATTTTTAAAATTCTGTTTACCCATCTTGCATGTATTTTCTACATCTGATGGTATGCTAAATTTTAATTGTATTGACTATATTTTCTTATTTTTTTGTATTTTTCCTACTCTGGCCTTTGGGGCCTTATTCCTGGCAAGGCTATCCCTCTCAGAGCTAGTTAATTCCTGCAGGTAAAAAATCCCTCCCCTATAAGCATGCTTGTTATACACAAACCGACCAATCTGGAGCCCACAACCCCAACCATAACCTTATCAAACTCACACACCAAACCAATAATCCTCCCTGCCCTATACCGTACCTAGCTCTGGTACCTATACCAGAGCTAGGTACGGGACAACTAGTGTCCACCCTTCCAAAACAGAGCCCGCTGAAAAATTTCAAACTGTCTGTCTTAGTCTTATAGGTCTGCTATAACAGAACACCATAGACTGGGTGATTTATGAAGAACAGACATTCATTTATCCCAATTCTGGTGACTGGAAGTCCTCCAATGCCATAAAGGTGCCTCATGATTGGGTGAAGGTCCTCTTCTGGGTGGCAACTAGGGATGACCCCTGAAGCCCAAAGTCTGCCAGAATTTTTCAAGGCTGTGAGCCATGCTTTTCTTGACCTGCCTCCTGAGCAGAAGGTGGAGGCCCAGCATATGTGGCCCAGTATGACATGCTGTGCTTCCTGTTTCTAGGGAACCGTGTAAGTGTCCTTCTTCAAAGTAACTTCCATGTCTGCATGTCTCACAGTGCATGATTAAAACAAGTCCCTGGTACATTTCAACACAGACATTTGGGGCGGGGAGGGGGGATCTGAAGTTCTCAACTGTTTATTGCTATTGCAAATAGAATGGTTTCTTTTATATGGATCTTGAATTCTTCAAGCTTCAGATACTCAGTCGTTCTAGCAGGGTCTTTTGGTTAATGTTATGTTTTGTTTTTTATTGAAGTACAGCTGATGTACAATATTATATAAATTAGAGGAGTACAATATAGTGATTCACAATTTTTAAAGGTTGTACTCCATTTATAGTTATAGAATATTGGCTATATTCCCTGTGTTGTACAATATATCCTTGTAGCTTATTTTGTACATCACAGTTTGTACCTCTGATTCCCCTACCCTTATATGGCCCCTCGCCACTTCCCTTTCCTCACAGGTAACCACTAGTTTGTTCTCTGTACCTGTGAGTCAGCTTCTTTTTTGTTATATTCACTAGTTTGTTGTATTTTTAAGATTCCACATATAAGTGATATTATACAGTATTTGTCTTTCTCTATCTGACTTATTTTCCTTAGCATAATACCCTCTAAGTCCATCCATGTTGTTGCAAACGGCAAAATTTCATTCTTTTTTATGGCTGAGTAGTATTCCATTGTATATGTTTATTCTGGGTTATGCTTTGTTTGGAGATCCCATAGAGTTTTCTCCGTAGATCAGTTTTATTTTTTCCTTAGCAATGTGAGTAATGTTACTTTTTATTGCCTCATTATTGTGACAATAACCTCCATCTCAATATTGAATAGAAGTCTAGTTTTATTAAAATTTCCAGTATAATATTGAACCAAATTCTTGCTTAGTTTGGCTTTGTCTTATTTTTCTACTTTTTTAAGGGACAACATGCCATTAAATTGAGGCCATTCTTTTCGCACATGTGTTTGGTCTATAAATTTAAAAATTACAAATAAAAATATAGGTATTTACTCCATTAAAAAAAAAAGCTTCACAGTGAAATCTAGACTGGTATTTGAACAATATTCAGGTATCACAGCCAAGTCAAGTTGATATATAAAATTAATCATCACAAGTTCACCTCTTGTCAACTTGGCACCATACAAACTTAAACCACTCCTTATCTCCAAATAAAGACAACAACAAGGTCATGATACAACTATCCTGTGTACAACCAAAAATACAATAACTCTTTCTTCAGAAAGGAGACAGATTCCCTGGGTAACATTCACTCTCCTCCTTGATATCCTATAACCAAATACTATGATATAAATTTAACAATACTTAAATACTGTGATGTGAAGTCAACACATCATCTGTTAAATGACAAGGGCGTGAAAGAAGGAAGAAAAAGATATTGGCTGGAGCTTCCCTGGTGGCGCAGTGGTTGAGAGTCTGCCTGCTGATGCAGGGGACACGGGTTCGTGCCCCGGTTCAGGAGGATCCCACATGCCGTGGAGCGGCTGAGCCTGTGAGCCATGGTCGCTGAGCCTGCACGTCCGGAGCCTGTGCTCCGCAACGGGAGAGGTCAAAACAGTGAGAGGCCCGCGTACCGAAAAAAAAAAATTAGGAAGAAATACTCATGACGTTACTGATTACTATCCTCACTTCTGTTAATGGTCACATGAGCTAACTAATATGTAGCTCTTCCACAATCCATTCCATGCTCCTTTTGTCCTCAGCAGCACCTCGAATGGTCTTTTTTTTCTTCTTTTTTTTGCGGTACGGGGGCATCTCACTGTTGTGGCCTCTCCCGCTGTGGCACGCAGGCTCCGGACGCGCAGTCTCAGCGGCCATGGCTCACAGGCCTAGCCGCTCCGCGGCATGTGGGATCCTCCCGGACCGGGACATGAACCCGTGCCCCCTGCATCGGCAGGCGGACTCTCAACCACTGCGCCACTAGGGAAGCCCTCGAATGATTATTTTTTATTCCCTGGTGGGGTGACCAAAGCATTCTTTCCTAAAGGGTCTGGGCCATGAGTTGTCCCGCCTGAAGTAGGTTGTGGATAGTTTTCCATTGACTTTACCATAGATCATGACAAGACATCTTAAGGGATCTCTGCATTCCAGACACACACTTCCTTTGTGCAAGTACCAGTGGGAAGTCCAATTTGCACCTGATAATCACATTCAATCACCAGAGCCAGCACAGTAACTCTTACTTTTCCTGTTGATTCAGAAGCATGAGTAGTGCAAAGTGGCAGACTGGCAGTGTTACTCTCCAGGACAATGGAATCATTCTACTGCAGTAGTGAAAGCACTCTTCCCTTTGCAACTAAGACCTCTACACAATCAGTGCTTCATGAAGACAGGAAGCAAAAATTTTCCCTAGTGCCTCTCTATGGATAACTGTCAGTGGTGCCACTCACATATCTACCCCTTGATTCCTGGATGCATCAATCCAGGCTATGGGACAAATAGTCCTATTTGTTATTTGATGATTCAGAGCCTATACAGCTTCCTGGGGAATCTTTCCCTGGCCCTCCAAGTATTGCCACATAGCAATCTGCCCAGGCCACAGGAAACATGTGAGGATCATGTAGACACCAGGGACCTTTGAACCAAGATTGTGCTGTTTAGGAAGATCCCTGGGTGGCACTGATGACAAATGCCACGTAGGGGTCTCCCTGACTCACTTCACCCTCTCTTCTGAGAACAGCCCTGCTAACTGGGCTGTGGGGACACCTGACCTCAGCAGGCTGGGCCAGTCAGCTTCCCTCCTGTGGAATCAGGAACAGGGACCTCAGACTGAGGCCCAAGGGTGCTGGGCACTGGGATGGGGGCTGGTGTTCAGAAGGACATTGTTTCTATCCCACCAATCACTGCTACAGACACAGCGAGATCAGGCAGGAGAAGGGACCAGAAAACTGCAGGACCTGTGGGGAGGAGGAAAGGTGACTCCTGTGTCCTTCCTGATCAGCCCAGAAACAAGGTGAGTGGGGTCCCTCACAGGTGTGAGAGCTGAGCACTTACCCAGTGAGAACAGTAGCTCACAGGTCTCCAGCATCACCTCCTGGTACAGAGTCCTCTGGTCCAGGTCAAGTTGTCCCCACTCCTCTTGGTCACAGCCACATTCTTAAAGGTCACCACCACCTGGAGAGTCAAACACAGGTAGTGGTGTTGGCCTTGTGCACTTGGCTGGGATCAACCCTGTCACTCTGTTGCTGGTGAAGATGCAGAGAAACCCAGGCTTGAATCACCGAGGCCTCTGGATCGCCAAGTTCTGTGTTGGGCTCAAGGGGGAAGCAGATGCAAGCTTGGAACATAATGCAATTGTGGCTGAGAGAAAAGCCTCCCATGAAGGAAGTCACTGGAGATGACACAGACAGTGTCACAGTGACACAGACAGTGGTGTTCCATGAGGACTGGGGAGAGATGGTAAGTGCTCTGGGAAAATGATCATGATGATAATTCCAACAATGGTAACAGTAAAGTGATAGCACTTAAGCCTCCCTGGTCCTCACAGTGCACCTGCCCCAAGTTGAGGCCTTTACACAATAAGATTCCTTGCTCGGGAACCAGACTTCCAGGGTGTGAATCAAGACTCTGGAATTTGACACTTCCTGCCAGTGCGACCACAGGGAGGACATCCCATCATTTCTCTAAGCCTCGATTTCTGCATCAATAGAACAATCAGTCCCACTTCACCAGGCCGTTTGGAGAACTAAAGAGAAAATGTTTACATGTGAGATGCTGGACTGCCTGGCACAGTTACGTGTTCAATGTATTTTGTGACTCTTACTAATCCTCCCACAGCCCATGAGGTAAATGCCATCATCACCTCCGTGTCACAGCCAGAGGTCTGAGCCCCAGGAAGCTCTAGAAAATCAGCCACAACCTCAAATTTAAGGAGCAGAAGTGGGAATTGAACATCCAGTAAAAGCGGGAACAGAGTTGCCAGAAGATTGGCAGGTGGGGGCAGGGGTACCTTAGCCAGAATTATTATAAAACAGCCAGGAAAAGACTATCCTAAGAGGTGACACTGATGCACAGGAAGGGTGGGGAGAGATAGCCCTGCAGAGATCTGGGAACAGGGCCCCAGACAAAGAGAAGTGCAAGCTGAAGCTGGAAACTGGGCAGGAGTTTAACAAGTTCAGGACTGCCTGGCCATGTGCGGTGAGTGAGGGAAAAATGGAGGGAAAAAACCTTGGGGGTAAGCAAGGGGCAGATCAAGTAGAGAGAGCACTGTGGGCCACATATAGTTGGGAGAAAGACTGTATTTATTATAAGTGTGAGGCAAGCACCTGAGGGGGAGACCCATTCATTCACTGAACCATTTGTCGAGTACCTTTTATAAGCCCAGGCTGTTGTTCTATGTCCTAAGCAGTAACAGGTGCTCATGCTCATGGGCTGGGAAGAGATCCTAAACAAGCAACTAAATAAATGAGCAAGACAATGTCACAGGGACCCAAAGATTCCAAAGTCAAGAAAATAGCGCGAGATGACAAGAGGTTACAGTCTGCTTTAGACAGGGCACCAGGGAAAGCCTGTTGCAGGACAGCACACTGGAGTGAGTCTGATATAAAGTGAGGAAGGAGCCAAGTGAATGGGAAGTTAACAAATAAGACAAGTCCTGACAGCGATCAGGACTATGATGAGGGTACTCAGGGTCACGGCTATGGAATTACCCAGGACCTGTTGTGTTTTAATGTCCAAAGGGACACCACACTCCTGCACACTATCACCACTTACCATATGTAACTGAACCTCAAACAGGAAAACAGATTCAGTGGGAAGCCAGTTCGACTGGCTGTAAACTGAAAGACAAATTCCTTGGCCTTCTGGGCGCCCTGTCTCTCCTGACACCTTTTCTATCCTAGCAGGGCTGCAATCCCCAAGCTGCTGCAGGCTACTCCTGCCTCTTCCCCACCCCAGCCCTTATCTCTGTAGAGGTTACACAGCTGGGAACCCAAGGGTCAGATTCTCCCAGGAATGAGCCTCTAACATCAACAAGGCTCAAGAGGCACCTCCGTGGAAAGAGAACCAGAGCGATGCTCCCTGCACCGTGCTGGACGCGGGGGGATACACGTCACCCATGTGCTTTTTCTAGTTCCCTCAAATCCAGTTGGAGGAACTTTAATATTCCTGTTTTGTGCCCGAGAAAACAGAAACCAAGGGCAACAGGGAAAGCTGCTCAAGGTCCTAGACTCGGGAAGGGGCGGGGCCGCAACACACAGAAAGGTCTCCGGACTGTGCGGCCTGCACTCCTCCCTGCGGGTCCTTCCACGCCAGCGGTATGGGGTCAGGGAGATTCGAGAAACCACATCTCTCCCTACCACACAGCGTCCCACTGACTGACAGAAATGGGACACTCCGCCTGAAGCTCCTAACCTGGATTCCCACCCGGAGCACAAGCGACCCCATCCCGAGGCTCCGACAAACAATGCCCTGGGGAGGACAAGGTGACGACTCACAGGACACCACCATCCTGCACAGCACCGCGCCTCGGCCACTTGGATGGGGTCCGAGCGGGCGTGGCCTGGCGCACCTTCCACTCACCTGCGCCGGGGTCACCAGCGCTGCCATCGCACCGCGGGGAGCGTAGGGCCACGTGAGGGCGCCGGAGACCGGCGGGTCCAGCGGGCTTAGCTGACCCTCCCCCAGGTCGTACAAAGGCACAGGTGGGCCCTCCAGGCTGTCCTCCCCGCTCCTTCCCTAAGTCCCGGGAAGAGCTCGTAGTGGGTGGGGACACACCAGCCTCACCACAAAGAAAACCCCGCTCCTCCGGCGCAGGAAGTCCCGCCCCTGACAACGCGAGCCAGTAACGCCCCTTTTCTGTGACGCCATCATTCCGGCCCTCACAGCCATCCCGCAAAGCACAGCCTACTGGGTAGTGTGATTCTTTTTTAAAAATTATTTTATTTATTCACTCATTCATTCATTCATTATGCGCTACGTCTTCGTTGGGGCCCGCGGGCTTCTCTGGTTGTGGCGCGCGTGGTAGCGTAGTTCTTGTTCTGCAGCCGGCCGGGAGAGGCTGTCTCTGTTTCTTCTAGGAGCCTGGGGCCCAGAGGCCTGGAGAGGAGCTGGCAAAGGAAATGCAGAGGCTCTAATGAAGGAGGCGAGGCATGGGATGTTCCTAAAGGGAACGATCCAGATTTCCCTGTTGTGTTTTTTGCGTCTTGTCATTTAAGATGCTCGGAATATAACAAGTGGACATACTGTATTGTAAATTTTTTAATGTTCGTATTCTGCTGCCTCAACATCCCCACAGACTGGCTGTGAGCACATCCCCACCCCACCACCCCACCCCGGGTGACTGGGTACACCAGAGTGATGAGGCTGTGGCCCCAACTCAAGTTCCCCTTCTTGTCCTCCCATGACTTAGTGACATTCCAACCCACCAATGAAATCCCCCCATGACTTCTGCCTGGGTACTCCGCCCTGATCCCCAGTAATGGCACTTACCTAGGGGGCCCCACTCTTCTGCTTCGTTGAGAATGCTCTCCAGGTGCTCCTCCTATATGGCTCCTGTGTGGGGTGGCATGCCAGTCTCTCCTAGGACCTGTGAATATAATAAATCCTTTATATGCCTCTAAGGGTACAATTTCCACGACTGTGTTGTAGTGCTGCATAAAGACCCCACAAGTGGGACTTATTTCTCTCTTCACCATATGGGGGAGTAACACATGATATGATATCACTCAGATACAAAGTACCTTCACTCATAGCCGCAAACTAATAAACATTATCTTGTTTCATTTCAAATACATGTGGATGGAAGCTTTACAATCAGTTTTCTCAGTTTCACTATGTTTGCTCAGAGTCAAGAAAGGGCTTCACACATGGCCATTACTGGGATGTTGGGGAGGAAGAGGTTGGTGTCCCTAAAAAAGATGGACAGTAGTGAAATCTTTTCTATAAACTTTTAAATAAATTGATGAAGTTCATCAAAAGTAAGTTGGGAAAATATAGGGTAGATTTTTTTTAAATGAGGGTGCTTTGACATAAATTATAATTTTAAGCATATGTTATTATCCAAGTATCTTTATTTTGTCTCTTCTGTTTTTTGAAGAGGTATTCCCTTTAAAGGGAGATATTGTTTTGTAGACTGCATTCAGCCAACAGGAACACAAAGGAAAACCTGAATGCACACACTGCAATGTCATTCAGTCACAAACTGCATGCTTTTTTTTTTTTTCTGGCCGGGCTGCACGGATTTCGGGGATCTTAGTTCCCCGACTAGGGATCAAACCTGGAGCCATGGCAGTGAAAGTGCCAAGTCCTAACTACTGGACTGCCAGGGAATTCCCAATAAACTGCACTGCTCTTCAACTCTATGTAGCTCAAAGCTTCAGAGATAATTTTGTAGGCTTCAGTATGTGCAATCAAGGAACAATTAAAAAAGAGTTAAGCCAAGATCATGAGAGAGGAAATGGATGATATCTGTCAGGATGCCAAGTCGGAAGTAGATGATGTGGTATTCTGCCTGTTTCCCACACAAAATAATTCTTTCCTGCATGAGTACATCTCAGTGTTTCTGTTGAAACCCCAACAAGTCCAACTATTTTTTCCATATATTTCTAACTCAATTTCCTGAAATAGATACTGCTATGGTCTCAATGTTTGTTTTCCCCTCAATTCTTATGTTCAAAACCTAATGCCTAATGTCATGATATTAGGACATAGGATACTTGGTATGTGGTTAGGTCAGAAGGGCTCTACCCTCATGAAAGGAACTGTGCCCTTATAAAAGAGGGCCCGGAAAGTTCACTGCTTTTACAATGTGAGGACATGGCAAGAAAAAGGAGGCTTTCTATGAAACAGGAAGTGGGCTCTCACCAGACACTGAATCCATGGGAAACTTGAGTTTGGACTTCCAGCCTCCAGAGCTGTGAGAAATAAATGCCTGTTGATTATAAGCCACCCAGTATATGATGTTTTCTTAGAGCAGTTCGAATGGACTAAAACAAATAAAATTAATTTTAAAATATGAGACTTATCTGGGACTTCCCTGGCAGTCGAGTGCTTAAGATTCAGCACTCCCAATGTGGGGGGTATGGGTTCGATCCCTGGGAGGGAAACTAATATCCTGCTTGCTGCATGGCGCAGCCAAATAAATAAATAAATAATAAAATAAAATAAGATGGACTTCCCTGGTGGTCCAGTGGGTACTCCGTGCTCCCAATGCAGGGTGCCTGGGTTTGAACCCTGATCGGGGAACTAGATCCCGCATGCATGCCACAGCTAAGAGTTCCCATGCCACAACTAAGAGTCTGCAAGCTGCAACTAACAGCCCACATGCCACAACTAAAAAAGATCCCGCATGCCACAACTAAACATGCCACAACGAGGATCCCACGCACTGCAACTAAGACAGGGCACAGCCTAAATAAATAAATAAATATTTTTTAAAATAATAAAATAAAATAAGAGACTTATCTGAAAAGAAGAGCCACTTACTAAATGTTTTTTCCTACTAGGAGAGTGCCTACCACGATCACAGTCTTAGTATGTGTGCAACAGGGACACCTTATCCCTGAGATAAACATTTCATTATTATTTGAGCATGATGTTAGTTGTCCAAATAATTATCCTGAAAAATTGCTAGAGTTGAGGGATCAAGCTCTTGCCTCCCTGATCTTTACAAACTGTATTTTGAGGTAACTGAACGGAAGATTATGGAAAAACTCTTCTTTACAGAGGATTTCTAGCTAATAAATGCAGAAATAGCAGAAGTAGGTGAAATGTTTCAACAGCTTATAAAATAATCAACGACATCAGTGCCTGCTGATACAATAGATAAAATAGATAAAAATACAATAGATAAAAGATGCATGGAAACTTGGTACCTGGAGAGAAACGCTAATAACATTGGAAACCAAACACAAAAGAGAGACACCCAGACATCAGAACAGGCTTATGTGATACAGTCACAATTTCTTAACATTGTATGTGGAGTATTAAGGCCAAAGGATGAATCTGAATTTCAAACTTGTTTGGATGGCAAGACTATTCACTGAAATTGGAAATGAATTTCTATTATTCATGATGAGTTCATGGTGTGTTTAAGACATTCAAGTGGACGCTTTGGATTGAGGAGGTTGATGGGCATTCGGAACAGAATTAGGATCTGAGTTAGGGCTGGACACAGACACTTACCAGCTGGCTGAGCAGAATGAAGGATGTTTTGAAAACAAGAAATATGAAAATATTTTTCTTCTTATTTAAGAATTTACTGTATATCTACACTAACTTTAGAGCAATGGGAAAGCGTAGAGAATGTAGATATTTACAAACCCTAATAATGTCAATTTATTTCCTGTAAAGTTGCCAAAGGCATGTAAGGGGGAAAGGATAATATATTGAACAAATTTGCCGGAAAAATTATATGGTGGGGCTTATGTTAAAAATAAATTTAGGGGGCTTCCCTGGTGGCGCAGTGGTTGAGAGTCCGCCTGCCGATGCAGGGGACACGGGTTCCTGCCCCGGTCCGGGAGGATCCCACATGCTGCGGGGCGGCTGGTCCCATGAGCCATGGCCGCTGAGCCTGCGTGTCCGGAGCCTGTGCTCCGCAACGGGAGAGGCCACAACAGTGAGAGGCCCGCGTACCGAATAAATAAATAAATAAATAAATAAATAAATAAATGAATTCAGGGACTTCCCTGGTGGTACAGTGGTTAAGAATCTGCCTGCCAATACAGGGGACACGGGTTCGATCCCTGGTCCGGGAACATCCTACATGCTGTGGCGCCACTAAGCCTGTGAGTTGCAACTACAGACCCCGCGTGCCTATTGCCCAAGAGCCACAACTACTGAAGTCTGTGAGCCACAACTCCTGAGCCCACATGCTGCAACTACTAAAGCCCATGTGCCCAGAGTCCGTGCTCCGCAACAGGGGAAGCCACCGCAACAAGAAGCCCGCGCACCGCAACAGAGTAGCCCCCGCTCTCTGCAACTAGAGAAAGCCTGCACGCAGCAACGAAGACCCAGCGCAGCCAAATATAATAAATCAATAAAATAAATAAATTAAAAAAAAAAAAGAATGTTGCCTTCAGTAGCTCCCTGGTGGTCCAGTGGTTAGGACTCGGCCGTGGGCCTGGGTTCAATCCCTATGCGGGGAACTAAGATCATGCAAGCCGGACAGTGGGGCCAAAAAAAAAAAGAATATTGCCTTCTCAGGTTTTAAATCTTCCTCTTTTTAATTTGTAGTACTTAAAAAAATAGTAGTACTTATTGAATTTATTATTTATATATTAACTCTTTTAAAAGTATAGGTAGCTCAATATCTTCTTAAAGGGTTTTTTTCTTGTTTCAATTTTAATTTTTTTTAAATAAAAGAAGACTGCTATTATCATATAGTTTGTGCATATGCTGTGAAAATTTTTATATTTGCTTTGAGAACTCCTGCAAGGCATGACAAATTAATAGTGTTGTAGAATGTGAAATAAAATGGAATCACTGATGTCACGGGGTTTTAACGTGGAGCTGGGAGGCTATTAATTAGTGGACATCCTGCACCTCCCCACCTGGTGAAACCATGAACTTTTGATCTGAGCCAACCTGCAAATATTCCAAGGACTCTGCAATAACACTTGCAACTTGTCACACTAATGGACTATTACTTCCCTCTAGTGATAGTCTTAGTACACAATCCTGTTCAACCAAGACTAACTTCTGCCTCCAATTCCAATTAAAATTCTGTAATACAAAACTCTCTTTGCATTTAAAATCCCCTGTATTTTACTCCCTAGCAGAATACCTTTTGGGTTGCTACTTGAATGTGTGTCCCGAATTGCAATTCTGTGATCCCAAGTAAATGTGTTGTGCTTGATTACTGCCTCTCAGGTTTACTGAGGTGGACAGTATCAACGATAGACTAATGTTATTTAACTTTATGTAGTTATTATTTTAGACAATAATGAAGTACACCGAGATTTTTTTTGCATATAATTCCCTTTTTCATTCCAAAATCTTATTGAATTGATTTTTCTTACTTGAAAACTCTTCCAAGATTTTCATAAAGAAACAAAAACAACAAATAAGGACTGTGGCTTGTCTCTGTCTTTTCACAACTGGAATGCATTTTTTTCTAATCCTATATAAAGTTTTATGCTGAGAAATACGAGCTAAAGCAGAATTTTATAAATGTTATGGATACAGGTTTTGCTGGGTCTAATTTTATGTGTTTTATTTAATTTTTTTTTTTTAATTTGAAATATAGTCGATTTACAAGGTTCCCATAGTTTCAGGTGCTGTAAATACATTTTTTTCCTGGCCGCGCCATGCACCTTGGGGGATCTTATTTCCCTGACTAAGGATCGAACCCGCCCCCGATGCAGTGGAAGCCCGGAGTCTTACCCACTTTACCGCCAGGGAAATCCCTTGACGCGTTTCTAATTTGTCCTTCCCGCACCTACTTGGCCCATTAATGCCCAAACAGGTTGGGGGTGGGTCTAGTCCGCACCGCACTCGGTGGCTTGAGGGGAACTACATTACCTAGAAGACTGTGCGCGGATCGGCTTGTTCTCCGCACCAATGAAGGCCCCAAACAGAGGTTCTTCCGGGA